GTTCCGAAATACCTATTTTTTCATTCCGAATTCTGAACCGAACAACAATAGTTTGATTTTGGTTTGGTTGAATTCAGTTTCCACTCGGTTCGGTTTTACCGTACCGTATGCCCACCCCTACCAGCCATCGCCGCTTGGCACCTGAACATGTTGAACATGTCCAGGTCCAACACCCAATGAGGCCCCTGCCTCGTTGTACCTCCATTGCTCGAACTTGGTACCATATTTCTCGTAGTTCACCAGGTGGTGAACGTACTCATGATCCGCGTCCACCATCCTGCAAAACATCCAAGGCATACACCATACATGGCAATATTAATCAATCTCAAATCAAAGGGGAGAAAAAGATCCCCACACTTAGGATTCCACTAAGGTCCTATGCCTTTAAAGGCTTTTCACACGATTGGATTTCAAACAATTAATCTCAAGCACCAAATAAGCTCATTAAAAAAATGATTCTGGGTGATTCATGGTTCAGTCAAATGGAAAAAACAAACCCAAACCATGCCTCAATGGCTCTCAAGTCTCAACCATCATGCGCACAAGTGTATCAAGTCATTTTCTTTATACTGCATTTGGTGGGAATTCTCAATTCAAACCACAAAATCATGCCAAATTCTTCCCACCTAGGCTCAATTAACTTAATCAACACCTCATGCAACATTCAATCAACCCAAAATGGCATTCCCCTCGTCCAATTCCAACATTCATTCACTAAATCACAAATTCCTCCCACCTCTAACATTAATCTGATTCTCCACAAATTAACAAGTTAAAAGTCGGAAACACACTTTGAGACTCAAGTAGGATCGAAGGGGAATGTGAGGAGAGGGCAAGGGAGTCAAAAAATTCTAGAGAAACGTCTAGAGAGGCTTGCCGGAGCTTCGTCGAAAGCTCTCCAAAAATTGCCTCACTGGAAAAAAAGTACGCCAAACAACCACAAATTTTTGGCGAAAGTGCGCCTGGATGTGAGGATAGTATGTCTGTGTTTGGTTTTGAAAATAGGTGTTCGGAAGTCGCCGAAATCGTCGGAAAACAACAAAAAATCGCGATTTTCCAGCGAAGTCAGAGGATTCCGGTGACGTGGGCGGCGTGATGTGAAGATGAGGGGTTCATGCCCCTTATATAGGCCGATCCCGCGGTTCACCGACGCAGGAGTCAGTACACGATCGCTAAGACCGTGAACATAACTCCCAGACCGTGAACTCGGGTGAAATGGTGAGTTTCTGAGATTGCTGGAGCCGCCCTTGTTCATGGTTTCCACCCTTTTATCACGGCTGCTAAGACCGTGAACTCAGGGCATAAACCGTCATTGAGTTGCCTTCCAACAAGCGCTAGTTTAACGTCACTAGCTCGACGTTGCAGATCTATCATGCTTGAGGACACGAAGACACCGAGAGTGAATCTGCCATGGTCTCAAGGCGAGGTTTGTCACCTCCAACATTGAGCTCCATTGGGTGGCCTTCTTGACCCGACAATTTCGCCTTATCCTTATCTTTTGGTCAGGAATAAGTGCAGTTCAGCTTATCCCTCCAAACTCTCTTCTTCTTTCCTTCGGGCATAGTTCCCACCTTGGTTTCTAGCACCTCATCATCAAATGGAACGCAAACACTAGCGGGGTTTTCCTTGAGAGGCTCACCTCACACTTCCAATCATACCACTCGAGTCCATTTCCTTCACAACATCATTCTTAACCTTAGGATCAATTTAAAGAGTGAGTTGCTCCTCTCCATCTCAAAATCAGAGTTCCCTCATTAACATCGATTAAGGCCTTGGTGGTCGCAAGGAAGAGGGGCCCTAGTATGAGTGTCATATCCGAATCTTCACTGATATCAAGGATAACAAAATTTGTCGGATAATAGAATTTGCAACTCTCACTAGGACGTCCTCCACATTACCTCTAGGACTAATGACAGAGCGATCGGCAAATGTGACACTAAGTCTAGTAGTCTTTAATTCACCCAAATGCAACATTCTAAAAAGCTTGTAAGACATTACATTAGTGCTTGCTCCTAAGTCCGGTAAGGAGTTTCTATATGATGATTTCCGATGCAAAGATGTATAGTAAAATTACCTGGATCCGGTTTCTTTTTAGGCAACTTGTAAAGGATGAAGGCGGAGCACTCCTCTCCTAAGGTGACATTGGTGAGGTCTTCATATTTTGGATTCTTGGAGAGCAGGCCCTTGAGGTATTTGGCATATCTCGGCATGTGCAATATGACTTCCAAGAATGGAATGGTGATGCAGAGCTTCTTGAGCATCTCCATGAATCCACCACATTCCGCCTCCAATCGGTCCTTGTGCATCCTCGTGGGTAAAGGAAGAGGAGACTTGTACTCAGCCATTTGTGGTGGCGTCGACAATGTCTTCTTAGACTCTTCTTCCTTTCCTCTCACATCTTCTTGATCATTGGCCGTTGGAGGAGTCTTCTCTTCTTCGGTCACTTCCTTATCATAATCAATGACAGAAAAAATGAATCTCCAACAACATTTGTGACTAGAATGAAGTAAATTCTTTTGTCATGGAAATTATATTTCATATATGATTATATTTTGTCTTTGAATTTAATTTCCAACAAATACGGAAAAAACACCTATCAATGATGAATATAGTGGAGTTGATGAAGTCCGTTGATGGTAAATAGGTGATACCAATTATTTTGAAATACCCATACGTTTAATTTCAACAAAAATCTACATAAATGATAAATGATACTAATTACTATCATCGTATTACAATTGGCCCAACGGAGGGATTTTTTCAATAATAGCATCTTTAAAAAAAATTACAAAACTAGCACCGAGCCGAAAATATTTACAAAAATAGCACCTTTTAAATCAAACCGCACCTCCAAGGTGTGTTTTATAAATAAACCGCAGCAGGACGATGCGTTTTAACTATAAACCGCACCTTAGAGGTGCGGTCCAATCCACGTCAGCAAACGCACCGCATCATCCGAGTGCGGTTTGTGTTTTCTGGGTAGCAGGGTTGGAGACCGTCGGATGGGGCTGCGATCCAAGGGCGGACCGCACGCCACCTTAGCAATCCGCGTAGTAGAGCCTCAGACCGCACTTGCAGGATACGGTCAGCGCCTCGGGAAAGCAGACCGCATCATAAGGGAGCGGTTTCGCTAGGGATAAAATTACCAGACCGCTTCTAAATGGTGCGGTCTGAGAACTATAAATACCCCCCCTTCCCCTCTCATTTCTTCACACCACAACCCATTCTTCCTTCTCTCTCTAGAATTTATCTCTCTAAACTCTCCCCTCGCAAAAGCCTAGGAAATAGTAGTCTGTTGGTTGTGGTTAAGTCTGATCTGCCATCATAAAACATTTCTTTAGTTTTTTACTCAAAACCCACCGAGCCGAGCCGAATCTCTGTCCGAATTTTCCGAAAAAATGAGTGAGTGGTGGCAAGGAGAGGGAGTTTATGTTGATGAATTTCTAGCGGTACGTACTCATTATTCTGGTTTAATTTTTGTTGTTATTATAAGCTTTTTAATTAATCTATGTACTAACCTCGTTGTTATTTTCTCATAGGTTGGGGACGTCGTGGATATATACAACCAAAGGTATTATCTCGAGCAAGGACCGTTGTATCCAATCGACTTGTACGACCAACCCAACCATCGATCAAGGGATGTTTGGAACGATCACCCGATACATACAATTCTTTATCATTTGTCTTTCTTTTATTTTGCTAATGTATTTAGTGGAATATAAAATAAATTTATGTTGAATTTTTAATCGTGTTGGTTGTTTTCAATAATTTAATCGAATACATAGGGCCACTTACTTCGACTCTTTATAAAGAGATGCACGTATAAGGAAATGGGGTTTTAAGCGATTATCATATCCTCCATCCCTGAGGAAATAGGGTATTAAGAGATTCTCGGATCCCCCCTTTTTCTGTCAAAAAGACTGCGTTTCTAAGAAGATATATACCTCTTCTAAGAGTCTAACGAGTGTTGCTCTGTATTCGATTAAATTATTTAAAACAACCGATACGATTAAATTATTTACCAAACAACCAATACGATTTATTTTTATGTGTACCAAATGAATTTTATTAATTTCAAATATTTGAATATGTATGTTTCTCTTTAAATTGTTATTCATTTACAATGTTATTTATGTTAATTAATTTAGTATGTTTGTTTTACGATAATATGTATGTATCTGTTTAAATTATTATTCATTTAGAATGTTATTATGTTAATTAATTTAGGATGTTTGTGTTATGATACCGGGGGGGGGGGGGGGGTGCGGTTTGTGTGGCAAAACCGCACATTGGGGATGCAGTTTTGTTTTGGAGAAGCAAACCGCATCTCCAAGGTGCGGTTTTGCTAGGTCAGGCCAAAACCGCACCTCGGCCGTGTGGTTTATGCAGGTCAGACCTGAAACTGCATGGCCAAGATGCGGTTTATATATAAAATGCACCTTGGAGGTGCGGTCCATAAAAAAAGGTGCTATTTTTGTAAATATTTTCGAGTGAGTACTATTTTGTAATTTTTTTAAAAAGGTGTTATTTCTGAAAAAATCCCCCAACGGACCGAGATACAATCTAGTCAATAGTAAGAACTAGCATTTTTAGTATACTATTTTTTTTTTTTGGGTGCGATTGTTAGACTATATCTGAATATCGATGATGAAATTTTCTTAATTTTTCCTTCCCTCAAAGTGTGTAGAAATTGGAACGGAGAAGAACACACTTCCAAGTTTCAACGCTAAAGCTTTATAACTACCGTAACTCGATCAAATCAATGTTGGGCTGGTGGCATAGGAGTAGTGACTGGGGGGCCGACTACCATTAATGTCCGTTGTTTTTCCCATAACCTTTCCCCACCAAACTGTCCTAATCCTCTCTCTCTTCTCTGCTTCGGCTTCCTTCCCAGTTCGCTCCACCGCCAATTCCTGTTTTCCTCCTACTCTCTCCCTTTTGTCTTCTTCGACCATTCTCTCTTCAAGTCCAAGCAGACCAAGTGGGAGGAAAGGAGATTGATGGAGGAGGTAGAGGGATCCTCTGAACTCACCACCCCGCCACTTCCTCACCACCGTGTTCTTCTCATCTCCGCCGGAGCCAGTCACTCCGTCGCCCTCCTTTGTATGTCTCTCCTCTTACTTCTTCTGTTCTTCCCTCGACTTTGGATTCAGAAATTCAACATGCTGGTTCACTTCATTTCTTTCCCCCCTTCCTGTTGAGTTCCCCCGATTGTGTCGATCTTTCTGTTTATTAGTTTCGATTCCTGCTGTTTGTTTTGGTCGCAGCTCGCAATGTGGTTTGCTCTTGGGGAAGAGGGGAGGATGGGCAGTTGGGTCATGGGGATGCTGAGGATCGACTTTCCCCCACGCAGCTCAGTCGTTTGGACGGACACCAGATTGCTTCCGTTACTTGCGGTGCCGATCATACCACTGCCTATTCCGATTCAACCTCCGAGGTCTACAGTTGGGGATGGTTCGTTGACTACTCAGCCTTACTACCCACTTCGTTTCATGCCATTTATCAGCGGCTGAGAGTGGCTTTCTCATGCTTGCTTGTTCTTGTTTCCTCTCTAGGGGAGATTTTGGCCGGTTGGGTCATGGTAATTCTAGTGATTTGTTCACCCCTCAGCCGATCAAAGCATTGCACGGTCTTAAGATCAGACAAATTGCCTGCGGGGACAGCCATTGTTTAGCAGTTACAATGGATGGCGAGGTACAGAGGTAAAAACCGTTTGTCATTTTTGGAAGGTTGGTGTAATGATTTCTCCAATGTACTCACTTGTTCCGCATATTTTGACTTTACAAACCCTGTCGTTCTCCCTGTATACGATTCGAGTTTGTAGACTGTGATACCTTATTAAATTGATTCCTTGCTGAGAACGTTTGATTGATTTCCCGCTAACTTTTGCCGCCAGATGGATGAGGGTATTTTTAATATTAAGAAATTGTTCCTTTCACACCTTTTATTGGGAAAGCTTGGAACTTAGTGATCCACATCAGGTTTAGGGTGTCTTTAACATACTTGTGTAGCTCTCAGTGAGGTTTTTTATATATGTGGGACAACATTCTGATTGATGAGCTTTCCTTGACCTATGAAGCTGGGGAAGGAATCAAAATGGCCAACTTGGTCTTGGAACCATGGAAGATGCTCTTGTGCCTCACAAAATTCAAGCTTTCCAGGTACTTTATGTTGTATGAGCATCAGCACCATATATGCATTGACATTATTTTCTTTTGACGAGGGTATTTGTGCCAGCATCTGGCAATAGCCTGAGTTACGTTTGCATCCTGCACACCCTTGAAATCTGTTGTCCTATTCAGTTGTCAAGCCTTATTTCCTATTGTTTAACCTTGATGTGAACTTATTTGGGTATTCCTAGATCAACACCTTCTATAGAATGAAATATGTCCTTCCGATTCATTCTAGCAGCAGAATAGATGTTTTTTATGCTCATTCTCTCTCTACGGCTGATGATTATTTATGTTTTATGCTGAAAATGAATAATTGTGTAGGGAATCCGGATTAAAATGGTTGCTGCTGGTGCTGAGCATACTGCAGCTGTCACGGAAGATGGAGAACTCTATGGATGGGGATGGGGCCGATATGGGAACTTGGGCCTAGGTGATAGAAATGATCGCTTACTTCCTGAGAAAGTTTCGTTATCTAATGTATGTTCGACAATGTGGTATCTTCACTTAATTTAACTTTTCCTTTATCTGATTCAGTGTTTGCTATGCTAGTCCTTCCAAAACCTTGAAGCAGATTATTTAGATAGAGTTTGGCTTGTTAACTAAATCTCGAAGTATTTAGGGGCATTTTCCTCTGCCATCCCTTTCCCTGCATGACAAACAAAGCCAAAAAAAAAAAAAAAAAATCCCACCAGGATGCTCTTTTGCCTTCTCTTTCCTATTCTGTTATAGAACTCTACTCATGATGGCTCTACCTGTTCTTATTAAGCATGATAACTATGTTGGCCAAAAGCTGACGTAAAAATGTCTTTAGTGGCCTACTCCAACAAATACACTTAACGATTATGCATTGATCTTGATGGATGCCGAGGAGAACTAAATGGGTTATGTCTTTTTCTCTGAGGGTCTTCATCTTTTTGGTTTGTCATTCCATGGTGGTACTCAAACTTATGATAGTAAGGAAATCTTGTTATCTGTTTCTTGGAACTTTAATGATAAGTAAATTATACTGTCCCTTGCTCAGTATCAGTTGGGTTATTTCAACTTTATGTTGCAGGAAGAGAAGATGGACATTGTTGCTTGTGGTTGGCGGCATACAATATCTGTATCTTCTTCTGGTGGTTTATATAGCTACGGGTGGAGCAAATATGGTCAACTAGGTCATGGAGACTTTGAAGATCATCTCACTCCTCATAAACTAGAAGCTCTAGGAGAAAGTTTTATAACTCAGGTACCGGGAATTTGATCGGAGAAGGCCTTACAAAAGTCAGGCATCCCTGTTGCTTTCCCTCCATTATAATCAGACTGTACAAAAAGGTTCATGTAGCCTTTAGGTTCATGTGGCCTTGTCTGATTCCAACTTCAGATTTAAATTTCCATTTAAATTTCTTTTATGTGAGTAAGGTTGGTTTATCTTTTACTACATTGCTCAAATTTTGTACTCTTATTCTGACTTTGGCAGATATCAGGTGGCTGGAGACATACCATGGCTGTGACATCGGATGGAAAGTTGTATGGCTGGGGATGGAATAAGGTTAGTAATTTCTGATTGCATTAGTGTCTGTTCTTGCATCAAACCAGTTCTTGTGTTAGGTTGGTATCACCAGGCTCCGGGGAAGGTGACATGACAGTATCTGTACACATCCTGCCAGTGTTGCAACAGTAGTATAAATCAGGGCCTGAGCGGTAGTTGAAGTAATTCTTATTCATAAATGGAAGAGAATATTCTTCTACCAGTGAAAAAACATTCACATACAAGGATAGAACAACATGATTTTTAACCCTGTTGTCCTCATAGATTATCTACTGTATGGGTGTCTTACTCATAACATATCATATGTTTAGTTTTTATTTACCCTCTCTGGAAGGAAGCAGCACAACTAGTTATGGTGTCCTCTTTACAGTTTGGACAGGTTGGAGTTGGTGATAATGCTGACCACTGCTCTCCTGTACAATTAAAATTTCCCCGTAATCAGGTTCATTCTTGATACTTTTTATCTCATTATTGGCCGAGCGAGTTGCTTTCATATGAATGATCACTTAGGTGCCAGTGTCAGTCTGATATGTGTGGTTTATGTTGTGTTTGTCTGGTTATTGACAGAAAGTAGTTCAGATTGCATGTGGATGGAGGCACACACTTGCTGTTACTGATCGGCAAAACGTTTTCTCTTGGGGAAGGGGGACTAATGGACAGCTTGGTCATGGAGAGTCAATGGACAGGTACTACTTAGGTGACATGTGGCCATGTAGTTTCTCGGTCTAGTTGTAATTAATGACATGGAATCTAGTTGGCAAAGCCTAGCATGTCGTCAAAAGGCCAATTAATCCTTCCAAGTTTCACTCTTTTCTATTTCTAAAATTCTAACAAGAATTACTGAATCTTAGAGAAGCGTTTGTCTGCTTCCATCATAGTGCAACTAACTGTTGATATACCTCTGAACAGAAATTTACCGAAAATGATTGAAGCTCTAAGTGGTGATGGATCTGGAGGTCAACAGTTGCCATCATCTCTAGTTGATCCATCATCAGGTGCCCATATTCTTTGTGTTGTAGTTATGCCTTGTGGGAGTTCTTTTGCTTTGATATTGATAGAATATTTCCTACTCTTTCACTTTGGCAGGCAAAACCTGGGTGTCACCATCAGATAGATATGCAGTTGTTCCTGGGGAAGCAGTAAGTTCCATGCTTCTTCTTTTTATTGTCGAGGCAGTTGCCATTACCGCCATTACCAATGCCTGACCTAGGTAGAACATCTGGGGGGTGGGGCCATATTCCGATCACATTAACATATACAATTTGGGAATCCTAATATTATGAAGAACAGTTGCCAGTAGTGCCATGAAGGGGCATATTTACCTTCTCTTTGTATAAAAGGATTGAGAAAGTAAGAAACTCAGGCATGCAAATTTGATGAAGTTGATAAGATCCAGGTTCTTATCGAATGGAGTTTTTCCTAAATGGAATCTCTCAGTTTGTTTTGACCATGTCTTGTGATGAATGGATGATTTTGCAGGATCAAGCGGACAGCTCGATGGGGGGTAACGGGAATGATCTAAGTGTTCCAGAAAATGATGTGAAGCGGATACGGGTCTGACTGTAGAATTGAGTGTCTTAGTTGCAGCTTGATCGCCCTACTCCAAATGTAGCAGGCAAGGCTTAGTTACATATAACGCCGGTTTTGAATGTTGTGTTTCTCAAGAGATCTGGAATTAGTTAGTATGGACGAAGTTCTTTGTTGTTGTATGGTTCACCTTTAATATGGATTACAACTATCTAGTCCTATATAAACATTATTACTATTATTATTATTATTATTATTATACAAAATGTGAGACCAAATAAACGTCTAAAAATTAGTTGGCAGTCGAGCTACAATCTGGGTGCCCATCCTTTTAGCTACAACAAAGCTAAGTCTAGGAAAAATGTGTGCGGCCGCCCGATTCCCTTTTTCCTGAGACACGGAGAATTTTTGGATTCGCTAGAGCAAAGTCACAATTGTTGTATCCAACTCCCTTAGTGAAAAAAAAAAAAAAAAAGAGCAGCAACAACAACTTTGCTTGACACCAAACTAGTCATACTAGCCTGAGTCAAAGGTAAAGACTTAATCAGATCGACACACACATCTCGCCCCTTGTCTCAGGAATAAAGCAGCAAATTTGCAGGACGCAGGACCCAAGGCCTAGAAATGGACAATGAGGGATAACTTCCCAACGCATGGCCCCTGTTTACACCTAAAAAATAATCGTGTACCTCATTGATTATTTACAAGACATTTATTATCTTTATAAAGCCAGATCATTAATGACAATTAATGTTATCTGAACTGGGCCTCATGATACTAGTTTTAAGCCCAAACTACTAAGTCTCCAAGAATGACCTAGTCTCGTCGCGAGTTGAAGAGCCCGACGTGGTCGCGAGATCTATACAACGTTGGCGTCAAGCGTAGAGCCCGACGTGGTCGCGAGATCTTGATCGTGTTGGCATCAAATCTAGAACCCGACGTGGTCGCGATATTTAGACCGCGTTGACGTCAAGCGTAGAGCCCGACGTGGTCGTGAGATCTAGACTGCGTTGACGACAAATTTAGAGCCTGACGTGGTCGTGAGATCTTGACGACGTTGGCATCAAATTTAGAGCCAGACGTGGTCGTGAGATCTAGACCGCGTTGGCGTCAAGTTTAGAGCCTGACGTGGTCGTCAAATTTAGAGCTCGACGTGGTCGCGAGATCTAGACCGCGTTGGCATCAAGTCTAATAGCCCGACGTGGTCGCGAGGTCTAGACCACGTTGGCGTCAAGCTGGATAGGCCTCGACGCGAGATCTAGAAACCATGTCGGCTTTGAGATGTAGAAGGCTCTCGTTTTGAGATCTGGAATGGCCATGGTGAAAGGGAGTCAAGTAACAAGATATTAACTCCAAGAGAAAGGACAAGCGGTTAACATAGCAACTGCCGATTATCCCCGTACCATGACACGTCAGCCATGTCCGGGGAAGAAAAGGAGAAGTTCTTTTGGAAGTTACTCTCCAGGCGATTTTTTATACGCCGGTTACCACTTCAAGGCTATAAATAAGAGAAGGAGTTGACAGAGAAAGGGTTCGCCAAATTCACACCAGACAACACAATGTCAAATTTTATCCCTCAATCCTTTCCTCTGCAATTTTAGCCGTAGTCGTAGATCTGGAGCTCTCACCGAACCTCCATAGGTGTAGGAATAAATTAATGTAGATCTGTCTCGAGTGTAGTGTAAACATCGAACACCCTCGTTCGAACTTTGTTGGAAGAGGTGTGAACCGTGTTTAGTGATCGTTGTCCAAAGAAGTCAAGGTGCATTTCAATTCGTTTCAAAGAGTTGGGGACAAGTGTTTAGTGATCATGCCACCAATTACAAGCAGTGGACATGGGGACAAATCCAACAAGGAAAGACATGAGAGAGGCAGAAAGAGTTGTCATAGTCTTGCGAATTTGGCTAAGTCTGGACAAGGGAGCATGTCACCCACCATGAAGAATGGAGTAGAGGGCATCTCCAAGAAGACACAACAAGTCAACCCCGCACATGAATTTTGTGAGCGTGAGATCATGGACAAGGGTGGACATGGGGGAATGTGTTAGAAGTCACCATATACACCAACCAAACATGGTTGTAGAAAGAACCTGCGGTGGTTGAATGCTATGTGAAGGGGCCAACAAGGTTTAGATCTTGAAAAACATAGTCAAGCGGGCCATGTAGGTGGCAGTCGACTTGGTTAATCTTGACATGGTCTCGAACCACACGAAGAGACTAAGCATGTATCAATTAGGAGGCAACCAAGGTAGATAAACAAACATGATTGCCTGTGAAGTAAAGTGGTCCAGGCAAAGAAGCATGAGATCTCATGCAAAGCCACCAAGACAAGACATGTCAACCGTGTACGTAAGATGAAAAGTTCAAAATCAATGTATGGAGAGTCGACTCCCATGAAGGACAAGAGTCATGTGGTCTATGGATGGTTTGCTTGTTTTAATCCATGGACTTGGCAGTGAGTGTACACTTTTGGCGCATTAGTTGTTGCCAAAGGCGATGGAGAGCAGTGAATTCTGTAATTCCTTGTCATAAATAAATAATATATATATTTTAATCAATAAGAAAATAGCCAATCATGGCTAAAAAAAAGATAGAGAGAAAATATCAAGTCATGCCATGTTGTCTTGTCCTAGGTAGGGTGCATGATGATTGGGAACGGGGCAATGTGGGTTTTGAGTCAAATTGAAGAGGGTTTGAGTGAGAGAGGATAATATTTTTTTATAAAAAGCCAAAATTTGGCTAAATAAAGTACAAAAGAAGTAGACGACTTGACTTGTCACGAGGGAGCTGTCTAGCCTTGCGACGAGGTGAAATGAACCAATCTATGTCAAATGAACCAATCTATTTTCTCAACCATGTGGCCAAGTACAAGACGCCAATGAGGGTGTACGTGATAAAGTGAGGTTGGTGTCTCGTTGAAGGCACTAGGTGACTTTATCATTGAGAGCCAAAATTTGGCTAAGGCATGGAACAAGTTTTGGCGAAGAGTTCCATCCGGCCACGTTGGCTTGATCATTGAGAACCAAAATTTGGCTAAGACATTGAAAAAGCTTTGATGATGAGTTTCATCCAGCCATGTTGGCTTGATAATTGAAAGCCAAAATTTAGCTAAGGCATGGGACAAGCTTTAACAAGGAGTTCCATCCCGCCTTGTTGGCTTCACATGATGTCCAAATTTTAACTAAGGCATGAGCTAAGATTTGACGTCTGGTTCCATCTAGCCGTGTTGGCTAGATGTGATAGCCAAAATTTTGGCTAAGTAAAATTTGTGTGTTGATAAGCTAGCACGTTACTTGGCTAGCATAGTTGGTGTCAACTACTTAGTCCATAATTCCTATGCACTAAGTAGTTGGGGGCATTTGTTTACACCTAAAAAATAATCGTGTACCACATTGATTATTTACAAGGCATTTATTATCTTTATAAGACCAGATCATTAATGACAATTAATGTTATTAGAATTGGGCCTCATGATACTAGTTTTTAAGCCCAAACTACTAAGTCTCCAAGAAGGAGCTAGTCTCGTCGTGAGTTGAAGAGCCCAACGTGGTCGCGAGATCTAGTCCACGTTGGCGTCAAGTGTAGAGCCCGAAGTGGTCACGAGATCTAGATCGCGTTGGCATCAAATCTAGAGCCCGACGTGGTCGCGATATCTAGACCGCGTTGACATCAAATTTAGAGCCCGATGTGGTCGTGAGATCTAGACCGCGTTGGCGTCAAATTTATAGCCCAACTTGGTCGCGAGATCTAGACCGCGTTGGCATAAAATTTAGAGTCCGACGTGGTCGTGAGATCTAGACCGCATTGGCGTTAAGTTTAGAGCCCAACGTGGTCGTCAAATTTAGAGCCCGATGTGGTCATCAAATTTAGAGCTCGACGTGGTCGCGAGATCTAGACCGCGTTGGCGTCAAGTCTAATAGCCCGACGTGGTCGCGAGGTCTAGACCACGTTGGCGTCAAGCTCGATAGAGCTCGTCGCGAGATCTAGACACCATGTCGGCTGCGAGATGTATAAGTCTCTCGTTTTGAGATCTGGAATGGCCATGGTAAAAAGGAGTCAAGTAACAAGATATCAGCTCCAAGAGAAAGGGCAAGCGGTTAACATAGCAACTGCCGATTATCCCCGTACAATGACACGTCAGCCACGTCCGAGGAAGAAAAAGAGTAGTTCTTTTGGAAGTTACTCTCTAGGCGGTTTTTATACGCCGGTTACCACTTCAAGGCTATAAATAAGAGAAGGAGTTGACAGAGAAAGGGTTCGCCAAATTCACACCAGACAACACAATGTCAAATTTTATCCCTTTATCCCTTCCTCTGCAATTTTAGTCGTAGTCGTAGATGTGGAGCTCTAACTGAACCTCCATAGGAGTAGGAGTAACTTAATGTAGATCTGTCTCGAGAGTCGTGTAAACATCAAACACCCTCATTCGAACTTTGTTTGAAGAGGTGTGAACCATGTTTAGTGATCGTTGTCCAAAGAAGTCAAGGTGCATTTCAGTTAATTTCAACGCAAGTTTTCTCGCCAGAAAACAGCCCCATAATCAACTAAATTACATTCTAAAAATTGTCCAGCAGCATAGAAAGACCCAACTCACCATCACATGCCTCAAAGAACCGATTCAAAGCATCCGAAATAGCTTCTCCTCCACCAAAAACTTCGACCCCAAACTGAAGACCATAAAAACAATAAGATAAAGAAGGACCAACAAGACAAGCACCAACCTTAGAGACTAGACAATGTCATTGATGGAACCGAGATCACCTCACATGATGTTCATCGAGTTCTAAGAACATCTAATGATCGTGGTCTGAAGATGAAGGCAAGAGAGATTTGAGAAGACAGAGAGAAGGGTCTAAGTGACCAAGAGATGATCGTCGGAGGAGTTGGAGCTGTTTGAGGGTCGAAGCATAGTCATAGGGCAAGATGGGAGGAAGAACCCAAAAATCCGGCCAGAAGAGGGAAATACCCGACCGATTATTGTGAGGGCCAGGCCAACTATCACGACCATTAGGCCCCGCGACCATGACACCAAAATATCCGATCGGGTATTTGATGAATTGAGGTTGGGCGCCGAGCTGGGCGGCGCTGAAGTGTTGCTAATTCACTATTTGTGTTTTGAACTTGTTATTTAGTGTTTAAGTGTCATTTTTAGTTCATTTTTAGGGTTATTTTGGGACTCCTATATAAGGAGAAGAGTTTTATTGTATGAAACAATCAACCAACATTCATCAAGTTTTATCTATAAAAGAAATCGACAGATTTCTGTGTTCAAGTTTGAACTGTTTTGCAAACTCTTCTTCAATGATTCTGGAGGATTGTATGAGGCTCTTATCGACCAGACGATCACATCTGGTCATGGAAAGCGACGAATACACTGATTAGCCTTTCTCACAAGTTCGGAATCATTTGATCGATTTTCGCATTATCTATACTTTTTTGCGTTCTTAAAGAAAACCCTAGAAAAACCCAAAATTGGAGTGATGCGTGTTCTGATTATTGTGCGAGTTTGAATCCCTTGACCCGAATTATATTAGTCAACATCTATAGGACGGATACCACTCCATGGTTTAAACAATGGCGTGAGCGGAGCGTTAGCAACGTACTCACCAAGGGGCTGTGGATATCGACCCTTAAGTAAAAGATTAACCATCCTAGTAATAGATGCAATTAAATCATCCGAGATAGCAACAACATCACCATCCAAACAATCCATAAGATGTTGAGCCCAAAAACCATCCCTCCCGCAAGACGTACCACGAGGGAAGCTCATAATCATATCCAAAACAACGGCTGAAGAGGAAACAAGAGGATGATGATCCATAGCTAAAGTCGGTAGAGAGGGAGATGGAGTGACGGGATGCTTATCGTGTAAAGTTACAAGAGTGGCTTTAGAATAAGGGGCAATGCTGGATGAAGAAAGCACGCGAACAACAACAGTATAATGCCCATCACAAATTTTCCTCTGACACTGCCAAAGGTTGAGCTCACTCAAATAAAGATCCTCCTCCATAGCAAACAAAGGGGAACCTCATCTAAAGTCTCTCGCAAAATCTGCAAACTGCCACGAGCACCCAAGGCAAGAATAGCGCTGGTAGCACTCTCCTCCTGACGATGGGGCTTAACAACATACCAACAGTCAAGATGACTCCGTGGAGAAAAGGTCTTAAGCATGCAAAGAGGCAACGCAAGTAAGCGGATTCACCAGAAGAGGTAACTAGGAGAAACACCGACATCATCCAATGCCCCTTTCAGAGCACGCGCAAACCCAAGATGACACTTAGGAGGGATAGATTTCACGGTGCGAAGATCCATATAGAACAAACAATCAAGCATAGAGATAGACGAATTTCACGGTGCGAAGCCGAAGTTCTGAGAATATCATAAATAATAAAATGAACATAGCCATCACCACAAAATATCATCACCACAAAAATTTCACGGTGTGAAGTCGAAGTTCAGGAGGCTTCACAAAAATATCCTCACCACGCCGACATTTAGACCGCAAAGCATGAGTATGAAGTCATACCCCACAAATCCAAACCCCTATCCACTTTAGAGTAGTTTAAGCATTAGAAAACACCGTCAAACTATCCGAAATAGTTTGACATGTAAGAGCCATAGCTTCACAACGATAATGTCAATCTTGAAAATCTCAGAGCAAGGAAGATTTAGTAAGACCCTTACCTCGACCATCTTGACACTCATGGAATCTGACAAAAGGGCAAGTGATAACAAATAAGAGCGATCATGACAAAAGCGAGACAAAGCTATACCCATATGCACAAACCCTAAGCCATCGTAATATCAGAAAATGCCAACCGAAAAACACAATAACAATGCAGGAACCCCTCAATCTGAAAGTGGTAGCCAAAAAATAGAGCATCCATTTTAAATCATTTTTAATTTTGTTCATTTTGGAGATCTTTAGGTGTAAGGATGCTTTTGTCCTTAATGCTACATTTGTCTGTTTTTTTTTTTTTGGGGTTAAATGATCATTTGTATTAATGAGAAAAGAGGTAGATACAAAGTAGATGAAAACCATGAAATAAAATTGAACTCTACTAAAGAAGGGAACGAGAGAAGGGCCTTTCTTATCACCAAGTGAGAAATTTTGTTACATCGACGTTAACAATGAGCCTCAATCTGCTTAAATAAATCTAACAATGCAAAATTATTCTCTAGAACTGTCTCTCCCCGGGCATCTTCCAGTTGCCTCTCATGGACCTTCATTAGTACAAAGTTTGAGCATCCCCTGCAAAACCATCGGCCGTATCGTCCCTAGTTAAACACCATCACATCGCATGTTGGACGGCCAATAATTTCACAAGAAATGCCTTTGATATCCCTCATCCAATGTTGAAGATGCCCCCACCAGCCCTTGAAATTCGCTTGTCGTAGTGACATCAACAAACATCACTAACCCATCTAGCGAAATAGTATGAGTGGAAGCCCACAGAGAAGTTGGAAACACTTGAGGAGCTACATTGCCAGGAACCACATCACACTTTGCAATGCAACCTGCGAAATTGAGCCAACAAAACCAGAATAGTATGGTGAATAAATTCAATAACTGAAATAGTGTCTGTTGGGGCGTTGCCGCTTTGGCGATAAATAATTTCTAAGTAAACCACTCACAATAGTGGTGAGGAAAATTAAAAAAAAGTTATTTTAGCTTTAGGGGTTGTAATAGGGGCTAAAAAGGATAAAAATAAAAATAAAAAAGGGGGATTGTGATATCGAATTTTTCATGTGGCGAAAAATGGGGAATAAGGGGACATTGGAGTTTGGTTATGATGCCAAATGAGTCACCTTTTAACTGTAATTAGGAGTGTGTGTGGTCGGGTGTCTGAAACACTGAACCATACGCTTTGATTTTGAACATACTAAATTCAAACTCACACAAAAAAAATTAAAATCCGGAGTTTTCTTTTATGATTGGGTTGGGTTGGGTGAGATGGACTAGACATTTAAGTAATACCCAACCCAAGACACAAGAAAAAACTATTTTACACTATAAAAGAAAAAATATATGATTAATTAAATTTCAAGCAAATAAGGTGAAGTGAAAATCATCAAAATGCATAGAAGCAATAGATTGGATCTTGATGAAGTGCAATTTGCTTCAACATATATATATAGTAGTTTTCATAAGCAATTTGCTTCAAAAATTGTTAACTAGAAAATGGCAATTTGAATCATACCTTATATTAAATATGAGTCAAAATATTCACGTTAAGAATGCATTAGGTAAGTGAGACCATGAGACAAAAATATGACAAAATATCCAAACTTCATAACAAATATGCTTGCATAAAACACAAATACGTGTAGATACGACTCTTAGGATAATAGTTATAACATGAGTTGGATTGGGTAAGGTATCTATTGATTGCATAACCCAAACTTGCACCCATTCTTAAATCTTAATTTAAATGTAAATAGAGTGGGTTGGGTGGAATTGGACGAATGAGTCAGGTCAAGTTCATTTTGTTCACCCAACCCACTGAAACCATAATTAATTACAATCATTGGATTTGAGGTATGATAGGAAAATCGAGAAAAAAACAATAAAATAAATATAATGGTTGTTAATAGAAGAATGCTATTTTCATAATAAAATAAAAATGCTTATGATGAGAACCCCTTTCCTCTTCTCTCTCCTCATTTATCTTTCATTCATATTTTCTTTTTGCATTTTAATTTTTAATTGACCATATGACTCGCTCGAAAGTGCAACCAATGATAGAGCTGTATCATAGTGGAAGTAAGTTTAATTATTAACTCATGATCTCTAGATGTATTACTACTCGGTATTAATCTGTTATCTAGCAATCAAATTTGAGCGACAGCAATTAAAAGCAAATAACGCAAGCAAAAAATTGGTACAAGTTTCATATATCAAAGAGGTCACTCAGTATCTAGATGTATTACTACTCAGTATTAATATGTTATCTAGCCAGATTAATGGTCGTTGTTACCGTAGTTTGTTTTATTTGATATTTATAATGCAGAGAATCCTTAATTAGCCTCGAATCTAGATAAAAACTTCAAATTCAACAAGGTCCTCTTGAAATAGACTACTCAGAGAGACACTACCCTCAAATGAGGTAGAATACAAAGGCAATGCAAAGTAGGTTCCCTCTAATGGGTAAGACTGTCACTCAATACAACATAGTGTATCGATTCACCCTCGTGCAATCAATCCTCTACTTCTGATTGACGATACTCTATTAGCTTAATAAGGTATTCCTTCTCATAAGTTAAAGTAGAAATTACAAGAATGTGATCAAGATTCAAACACCTGAGGAAAATGCATCAATAAGATATAAACTTTGAATTCAGCAATCTAGTTTCTCACACAATCATAAATCAAACCATACAAGACAAGGGTTATTCAAAACCCAAGTGAAAAGAATGATTAGTTCATGAGGGATGAGAAAACAAACAAATAAGAAGAGTAAGAAGCAATCGCCATGATCCAATCCTCGATCGATTGCCCCGAATGAACTCTAATTGCGATGATCTTTTGGAAAATCCTCCTTCTCTACCCTCTATCTCGAAATTTAGATTCTAGGTTGAATCTGGCCGCTCTCAGTCAGAAAAACCGTAAGTTTGCTTAAATAGGTTGAAAACCGGACTCGAACACGGCTATAGGCACGACCGTGCTCTAGGTCGTGTTCAACTCGGGTTTAATTATCTTCTTGTTCCTGAGGGGCGAATGGATCTCGAGCACGCCCTTCAGCACGACCGTGTCCTAAGAAGTGTTGGACTATTAAAATATATTCAAAACAAGTTCAAATGCTCTTCAAATCATCCCAAAATCTCTAACTTCTACATGTAATGGGTTTTTCATCCAAATATAATGAAATTCGGTCAAAGTGAGAAGAAACACACTAAACAACAAACCAAGCATAAAATAGGCAAACACGTAAAATCTTGTTGAAACGATAGCTCAAACAACTTTAAATGAGGATTAAACTATGTATAATTTATGGTGCATCACCATAATTAACATATTTTAAAATGGGTTCGAAATATTGTCTATAGAAAAATCAGGTTTATTAGTATACTTTTGAGGGAAAAAACATGTATTTTAACATAAAGTGGATTTTGGGTATTCAACTGCTTGATAAGTAGTTGGTGTCTCTACCAATTTGCATTTGTATCAAAGGCATTTCAACGGAATGTCATACTTTTGATGGGCTAAGTCGTATTACTAGTGTGATTGGTGTTCTGTTATGGATGGATCAAGCAACAAAGATGGGGTGCATATTGAAGTGGCAAAGGTTTGTGTAGAGTTGCGTGTTAATAATGGTTTCCATGAAAATATTCAAATTAAACGGGAGGGGATATGGCATCCAGAATCTGTATCGAGTATTTGAGGGTGCCAAACAGGAGCTTGCTAATGCGATTGTAGTATATTGCATAGTAATAACCTAGTTGCATTGGGTAGCAGATTTCTATTTACGGCCTCTATGAAGAATTGCATTGTTTCTAGGCTTTGCTGATCTAATGTATCAAGCATCAATCAAACACAAGCATGCATAATCGCGTCACCAACTAAACATACATGCATATGATAAACACATACCATATAAGAAGAGTTTCCTAGGCAACCTATGATGGTATTATAATCAAAACCAAGATAAAACACAATAGATGATAAAAGCATAGCATGACTAAAGCATCTCATTAAATAATAGAAAGTGATGCATAAATCATAATAAAAGTCACATCTTAAACAACAAGAGACTTAGCTGGCCATAAAATAGATAAATGACACCACCATCAATGATGAAAGCATCTTCTTGAGCTATGACTTTGCTTCTCCTATGGATGCTAGTACTATCGACTTGAGGGCATAAGTTGAGAGCCTTCTGCATTTGTGTGTAAAGATTGCGTCTAAAATTTCTAGGCTATGTCTCTAATTATAATACATGGAAGAAGGGATTGTTAGGGGGTTTCCTCCATAAACTCGACCAAAAGTATTCTTGTTTGACTTGAACTCGGGTTTCTTGACTTGAGGATGAAAGAATAAGCTTTCAGAAGATTACATGGGTATTGGGCTAGCAGCAACCCAAAGGCGGTTGGACACACCGTAGATTTTCTTGCATATTTCTTGGCCCACGAGCAGCCTCTCCAATAAATTTTGGTTGCTACTTGTAGGCTTTGGTCGGGGATGATTGGACCTGCCGTGTTATCGACGTGGATTTGCTTCTCCAAATGGGATGATTTTGATGAGCTGCTTTATATTGGGCTTCTCCTCAAATTTCAGCTCAATCAGACTTTGTTTGACCCGTCAGCTTTCATAAATGTGGTTCTTTGGGCTATCAAATGAGCATTTAATGTCCAAATTCATCTCTGTTTGCAACAACCAGCTTGTATCTCATCCTACTTCTGATCCATTGATGATCCACATTCCTATTGAGTATCTTGTATCCTTGCGATTCACAAAATAACACCAAAGGAGTAAAATAGTACAAAAACACATTCAAGATCTAAATTAGGCATGTTGATCAAATAGTTATGATATTCATATAGAATATATGAAAAAACTACTAAAGATGCATCGATAGAAGAAAAAATTTATAACATATAATGATTTGAAAGCACTATAATTTGAGCGTCAACAGAAATATCATACTCTTGAAGTTTGCTTGTCTCCAGGAAAACACTACTCCCATTCTGATTGGTACAAAACCTTACTTGACCTTGATCTTAGGTAGTGGATCATAAGTGAACTTAAAACGTCAACAATATTACGAGAGAATTTCAACCACTTCCACATGCATGAATAACAAGAAACTCAATCTAATCATAAACAACCAACCACACATAAGTGTAGGGAGCTTTACTATTTTTTTCAATTTTCTTGACTTTTCTTCTCACTGTTTTTTTTCGTTTTCATGAGGGAGTATATGTAACTCAACCCCATGGTTTTGAAAATCGTTAGTATCCGGATCATGTGTATAAATTGAATAAAGTGTTATATGGTCTTAGCAGGCTCCTAGAGCCTGGTACGATAAACTTAGCTCGTTTTTAATCAATGATGGATTTCACTGAGGTTCAGTTGACAAAAATATGTTTATTAAAACTGTAGGTGAACATACTATTCTAATACAGGTGTATGTAGGTGACATTATCTTTGGGTCGTCTAGTATAGAGTTATGTAAAGCGTTTGAAAATACCATGAAAAACACCTTCGAAATGAGTCTTATGGGAGAACTTAGCTATTTCTTTGGGTTTCAAGTGAAACAAACTTCGAAAGGGATTTTCATTAGTTAAACCAAGTATTTGGTCAACATGCTTAAACGTTTCGTATTTGGAAATATGAAAACTGTTGCCACCCCAATGGGCTCCACTATAAAACTAACTAAAGATGAATATAGAACTAAAGTAAATTATCATATGTATCGGGGTATGATAGGGTCCCTACTCTATTTCACTCCTCGTCGTCCAGACATAATGTATAGTGTGTGTGCTAGATATCAGAGGTCTCCTAGAGCTAGTCATTTTTCTGTAGTCAAGAGAATCTTTCAATCTTGCTGGGACAACGTCCTTGGGTTTGTGGTATTCTAGAAATTCTAGCTTAGAATTAATTGGGTATAGTGATTCTGATTATCTTGGGTGTGTAGTTGATCGGAAGAGAACTTTGGTGCGTGCCATATTCTTGGAACATCACTGGTTTCTTGGTTCAGCAAGAAACAGAGCTCAATAGCCTTATCTACTGCCGAGCCAAAGTATGTTGCTGCTGGTATCTGTTGTACTCAAGCCTTATGGTTAAAGGACCAGTCAATATTTCAATTAACCAATCAATAGATATCAATCGATATTATATATATTGATTGATATAAAAAAGACTTCTTCGGCTTACAAAATTTCTTCAAAATTCTAATAAAAACTTCTAAAAAGGAAAAAATTGAATAAAAAACACTGGCTTTTTTATTTTGTTCGAAAATTTCCCTTTTCCAGATCCTGTTCGATAAATTATGGTCTTCAGCTTAACACTCTTCCTATCTTGTGTGATAACATGAGTGCCATTTATATATCAAAAAATCCTATTCAACACTCGCGTACTAAGCACATTGAGATTAGTTATCACTTTATTAGGGACTTAGTCCAAGAAGGGAAGGTACAACTAGAGTTCATAGGGATTGATATGCAGTGGGCTGATATTTTCACTAAACCACTAGGTAGCAAGAAGTATCTTCCCATTCGGCGGGAGTTAGGGCTCTTTGATCTAAAATAAATCAATAGCCTGTGATTTTGATTCTGATTGTGATTCGATTTCTAATTCTTTTACTTCATCTTTCCTTAAATTCCTCTCTTCCTCAAAATCCTTCAGCTAGTTGAAATCAACTGTTGATTCTATCAAGCCTTTCCTTTATTATAGTGATCTTTTCCATAAAGGTTAGTGCCTTCACCCTCTTTTGGTTATTCACACACCCCTCATCCTTTAACCTAACAAAAAAAAAACCTCTTCGGCGGCACCATGGTGTTGAACAATCCTCATCTGCACCTGATAAACCGTTAATAGCACATGTTTTTGCCCCTATTCTTGAGCCGTTTGAGATGTTGATTCTTGTGTTTTAGGCCGATTTCACGCTAGGTTGTGCTTGTTTGTGACATTTCAGGTCCTTGTACGTGAATAAAGGTTTGGGAGCGAGTTCGGGGTCGATTGGACGAAGATCGGACGTGAGGCAAGTCGCTGAGGAAGCCACACGGGCACACACAAAACCCACACGGCCGTGCAAGTAACCAATGTGCCCGTGTGGGATTGTGCGAGCCTCCACACGGGCAGGAATAAAACCCACACGGCCGTGTGAAAGAGCAATGTGGCCGTGTGGAATTCTACGAGGCTTCACACGGGCAGACTGGGTGAGCTACACGGTCGTGTGTCCCTAGCCGTGTAGGTAGCCTGAAGTGCAATTATTGGAAACGCGGCGTTTTGTGTCTCACACGGGCAACTGGTATGCCACACGGCCGTGTGGCCTGCCCGTGTGATCGGGATTTTCTGGTTTTTACCCAATTTCGGGCCACAAGTGAGGGGATCGAGTTTTGAGAGCAAAAACAGAGCCCTAGAGAGAGAAAGTACAAAGAACACATCCTAGAAGCAATCTTGGAGCTGGGTTTCATCAAATCGAGCTTGGAGATCGTCATAGGAGTGGAAATCATCATCCCAGACCAGATTCTTCCCATTGTTATGAGTATGACTGCTTTGTATTCTGTTTTCCTCTCTCTCTCTCTATGGAGTAGAACCCTTCTCTCACTTGGGTATGAAGAACCCTAGTTCCATGTGTTAGGGATTTGATTGTAATGACTTGGGATGATTATGCTGTTTGGTTTTAATCGAATGATGCATGTTTTATTGAATTGATTGAAGTCTGATCAGGGTTTCTTGATTTCTACTGCAACCTGAGTTAGATAGAATCTGATTAGGTTGTTAGAGCTTCATCATTCGTTAGTAGGAGATCGGCTATACGAGAGTTAGCCAGTTTACTGCTTTGTACTGGAATCCAATTCCAGTAGTGGAGTTCTGTGCTTATTGCTTCAGCTTTCTATCCCGGTGAAGGCTAGCCGTCTGCCGGGTAGTTACACTGAGAGGGCTTGGTCAGCTTAAGAGATTCCAAGCTACTGTCGGATCTTCCGCAGTCTAATCAACAGTAAATCAACCCAGGATAATTACAATTGAGACCTAACTAAGGAGCTAGGCGGACTCATTCCCTAGTGACTTTTCTTTGCTTGAGAAAACCGAACCAATTCATGCTTTCTTACTGCTTTTGCTTAAAACAACAATCACTTGACTTAGTTGGCTAGATAATAGATACTCACGGAGTAAGCAGTAGATCTAGACCCCGAGTTGATAATTGAACTTGCCACTTTACTGCATTCCCGGACTGCGATTACACTTGGTCGCAGTTTGGTGTTGTGTCAAGTTATTATAGTGATCTCTTCCATAAAGGTTAGTGCCTTCACCCTCTTCTGGTTATTCACACTTGCCTACCCCTCATCCTTTAACCTAACAAAAAAAAACCTCTTTGGCGGCACCATGGTGTTGAACAATCCTCATCTGCACCCTATTGTTACCTTCGACAATCAGGGTTTTCGGAATGCTCATGAGTATGCCAGGTACTGCGTTGTTTCCGCGATCATCATATTCTACCATCCTCCACTATTCAAACTTAAGCTTTTAACAAGTATTGAATGGACATTCCCTCACTTCTGAATGGGCTTGGTTGGAGTTCATTGGTCGAAGATCAACGATTCAGTTTTTGTCCTGAGGCAGTCAGGATGTTCAACGTGAGTATCAAACGAGGACCAGGTCCTGAACCGTCTCTCTTCACCACTGTGGTTTTTAACCATAAAATCACAGTAACCCATGTCGTGCTCGGTACCATTCTTTCTCTACCTCATTATAGACATCAAGCTGGGTTCAACGGGGAGTTCAAAGATATAGGTTTTGATTTTGGCGTATCCCTTTATCAAATTAACTATGATACTGGTCGTATTTTCCCCATCATCTTTCTTCTCGTCGTCTTCCACATGATCTGAAGGGGGACCACGAATCATGCAAGCATAGGGGTGGGTGTTCGGTCGGTTCCGTTTGAACCGAACATAACAGAGAATTATCGGTGTACCAAAGTCTGCAATGTACCAACCAAATTCAAACCAAATTGTATTTCGGTTTAGTTTGGCTGAACCGAAATACAATTCGGTTCGGTTTTCTGGTAAGAACCAAAAAAGAGCTGCTGCATCATTTAAGGGTTTTATGCTTCCTGATGATGCTGGACATTTTTCGCCTGCTGCTGGAAGTTTTTTTGCTGCTATTTCAATTGATAAGATAAATAATTAATGTCTAAATTCGTCTCAAGTCCACATTCCAAATATTCAACAACAAAAAATCAAGTCCACCTTCCAAATATCCAACACAAATACATCAAGTTCACCAGTTTAGAAGCATTCATTACAATACAAATGGTTTTAAGTTTAAATTAAAAGAAGAAAGGTAACCATTGTCTAAATTCCAAGAATAACTTTTACAAACTCCAAAGGTCTTGCTTCTTGGCTCTTCACTCTTGGTCAATTGACACCTTTTAAATTGAAAATAGTACAATAAGCATCAAACAATGATGGTTAGTGATTAACATGTATAGAGCTAATTACAAGTAACCAAGTAGAATAAAATCTCAACTTCTTACTTCTAAAGTCATCAAACATGAATAGAAACATCGAAATTTTTACCACAAGCACTACTAGATGCACTGCCATCGTTTCTCCTTTCACTTGGACTTGGTACACTGCAAGTCGAGATAGATAAAACACGATGATCTCTTATGGAAACTGCATTCATCAACTTGTCCAATTCTACAAGATTAAAAAGACTCAAAATTAGTCATGACATACAAAATAATCATCTTGTAAATATGTAATGCTAGATTTGAGACTTTACCTTCATATATTTTCTCAACCTCTTATGGATCCTCCTCGGCTGATGGTGGTGTAGAATCACCATGAATCCAATCCGATCTACAAATTAAGGCCTCCACTATCTTAGGAGTCAATGAACTTATGAAATCATCTAGAATCCTCCCACAAGCGCTAAACGCATATTCGGATGTAACGACAGAGATATGGACCGCTAGAACATCTTTAGCCATCAATGAAAGAGCTGGAAACCTCAAGTTGTTAACCTTCCACCAACCTAGTACATGAAACTTGAGCACCATTGGCTCGTCTTTCTCACGAAGGTATTTCTCAAGCTCAGATTTGTTTACCGCCCCTACAATTTTCTCTCTATGCTTTATGTATTCAACAATTACATCAATCTCATCAACATCACACTCCTCCACAATTGGAGCCAAAGAAGTAGAGGAATTCTCAGATTTCTTTGATTTCCAAAGCTGTTCATAGTGAGCAAATAGAGCAAATGTAGCCTTCTTCACATCTTCCGACATACATCCTCCCTTACCATCCTCAGGATACACCCTTTTCAAAGCATAGTCAACAAAACCCAACTTGTACCTTGAATCCATAATAGTTGAGATGTAAAGTAGCTTTTTCATTTTATCCACATCTACCCAATACTTCTCGTACTTCAATTTCATCTTGCTAGCCATGACACTCAAGTCATAATCTTTCTCAACTTCAGTCTCCAACTTGTGTATCAAATGATATAGGGAATGCATATCTTGTAAAAACAAGTTAGAAGTGGTATATCTTGAGCCCAAGATCTTCAAATCATTCTTCTCTGGGACTATCCTTTCTGCTTTCCAAATCCTTTTGAAAATGGTCGTCATACATGCCAAACATCTTAAACACCTTATCAAACCTCTGAGCAGCCCGCACATCAAGAATGTTGAGTTCCATCTAGTAGGAACATCAAGACAAAAGTCACATTTGCCTTCTACCTTTTGAAATTTGGCAAACTCATTAAAAAATTTCAACCTTTCTGGTGATTTTATAATAAACCTCACTGCTTCTCTAATTCTCTTCATCGATAAGTAGATATCTCCAAGCCCATCAGACACAATCAAATTTAAAATTTGAGCCACACATCTCATGTGAAGGAATGGACTATCACATATACTAGTCCCTCTAGCATTAAAAACTTCCTTCAATTTGGCTACAATTGTGTCATTAGAGCTAGCATTATCAACAGTTATTTTGAAGACCTTGTCAATCCCCCAATCATCCAAACAAGCAACAATGCCATCAACAATATCTACACCTTTATGACCTTTAAGTTCCCCAAAATTGATGATCTTTTTTCTCAATTTTCTATCTTGGTCAATAAAGTGGGCAGTTAAGCACATAAAACTATCTTACTTATTCGAAGTCCATGCATCATTAGTCAAACAAATTCTTCCTTCACAACTTTGAAAAACCCTTTTCAACTTGTCTTTCATCTTAGTATAGAAGGCAAAGCAAACCCTAGTGATTGTTCTTCTAGAAGGAATGTTGAACATAGGGACGCATAGCGGCATGAAGTACTTAAACCCCATCCCATCAAAAAACATGAACATATTTTCATCAACAATGAGCATGTATGCTAAACCCTTTCTAGCATCTTCTTGATCAAACCTGCAATTCATTAAAGTACCCTCACCTTCTACCCCAGTTTTTCCTAATTTCAATAGTTGTTGAGTAGTACCTTTTTTGGCATCACAACCCTTTCGCATATGAACATTCATAGCATTGGTGCCATTAAGAAATGGACTGGCCTCGTACTCATTCTCACACTTCATACAACTTGACATCTTGTATCCGTTAGGGGCACTGAACTTTGTGAATTGAGTCCAACACAGCTCGTGACTTCATCTCCTTCCTTTTTTGGTTTTAGTATTTATTTGGTAGTACTAGTAGAGAGGACAGTAGGAGCAACAACTTCCTCCTTAGGAGCCTCACCGACGGATGAATCCTCTTCCTACACCATCAATAATCTAAGTATACTTCCATCACCAATACACCATCAATAAACACAAGTGATATAAGCATTAAGAAAGATACAAAAGATAGCTTGATAGAGAGCTTTATCATTTATTTCCAACTAGTCGAACACGTTTGAAGAGAGGAATGTGAAGCTTTGGGTTAGTTTATTTGGGAGAATGGTGCTATGGTAGAGAGCTTTATCATTTATTTCATTTCCAAAACTAGTCGACACGACCAACTACACACTAATTATTTTCTACAACATTCCATACAAAATTACAGCTATACATGCATACTAGTTCTAGCTAGTCCAACAAATCTGCCTCTCATAAACTCAACCAAGTCCGATAAATCTGCTTTGTCCTTCCTAGACTCCTAGCTATCAAACCAATGCAATCTCACAATTGAACAATATCATACCAAAACAGGGACGTCCTCATTTTGAATCGGTTAACTGTCGGTGTTAGTGGAGCTGCCAGTATTTCTTTGTCTGCTAGCTTTCTGATTGTTGGTCATGTTGACTGGTGGATGTAGGCTTTGGTTGGACTTCGAAATTGGAATCCTCTTGTCTTGTCATGGCCTAGGGTTACAATACAAGCGGCAAAGGCTGAAGAGAAATAGATGTCGATGGGAATTGGGTCTGGTTTTGATTAGGGTGGGTGAGTGGAAGAATGGAGTTGGGTTGGGCGGCATTAGGATAATAGGGAATGGGTTGAGGGTTGTAAAATTGGGTTGGGCTAGGCCTGGGCCCTGTGCAGATCACATTTGTGTTGGAAATATGGTCTATTTCAGTTCGAATTCTGATCCTAATAAGGTTAAATTTGGCTTCGATCGATTTTTGTTCGGTTTGGTTTTACCGAAACGTATGATGCTAACTCTAGCTCTAGCCAATGGGAACATTTTGTTTGGACAACTTTTCCATTTAAATGGGTTGGCCACAATTAATGAGGGGGGAGGAGAAGGAGGGGCACGCTTGGCATTATGAAAAATTGGGGAAGGAGAGGAAAGAATGAAGGGTGACCACGAACCATACCACAACCGCCACAACCTAAAAGCATGCTATGATCTCCTCAAACCATGCCACAACCTTAAAGCATGTCAGAACCTCAAAGCATGCCAGAAACTCAAAGCATGCCACAACTTCCTCAAGCATGCCACAATCTCAAAACATGCCACAACTTCCTCAAGCATGCCACAATTTTATAAAGCATGCAACAAGTAGTGGACGTGTTTGTAAATTTGAAAAGTTATAATTGTTTACGTTGAATCTGTCATAATAAGATCTGCTAAATCTTATTTGGCCACTCCTGAAGCAAATGTTCATGGCCATTACGGAAAAATCCTTTCTGAAGGGGATACATTAGTTACATTTATATATGAAAAATCGAGATATGGTGATATAACGCAGGGTCTTCCAAAAGTGGAACAAGTGTTAGAAGTGCGTTCAAGATGTTGTATTCTCAGTATACATGTCTTGTGAGAATACAAAGTTTTTTGACTTGATTTAATAACAATAATGCATGAATTTATAATTCATGTTGTATTCCTAATACATTGAAAATGATGTATTCGTAATCTTACCTTTCTGGTGAGATTTTAGTATCCATAGTTCATTTAAACTATAATCCATGTATTCTAGTATGGGTTCCAAACAATGAATTTTCAAAATCACACATTCTTGTTATACACATAATCTTTAATATACACATTCTCGTAATCCATTATTTCCAGAATCAAAGGTTCCAAACGACCCCAAGTTCAGTGTCAATGCGGTCCTGAAAGAATACGTCATTATTCGTTAACCCCTGAAGGTTGTAATATGGATTTCCTATCATTTGCACTTTGTAAGGGGATTTGAGATTCAGTCCAAGTTCAAAAAATGTTGTTCTCTATTTGCTTTTTTTATATACCATTAGGAGTGCAAAATATAGGTAAAAATTTATTATTTTGTCTTATCCCAAATTGGGGTGAGCGAAGGAAGGAAATTCATAGATATATAGTTGAGAGTTTAGGAGAGATTATAGTTATAATTTTATTTTTTAATAATATAATAATAATTATTAAAATATTTTTATCATTGTAGTTATTATTAATGTAGGCATTGTTCACTAGTCAGCGTTAAACTGGGCGCTAGAACTTTGTAGAATGACTAGTTATGGTTAAATCTAATTTGATATATCAGTTTCACATTGGTTTAACCACAATGCCGACAAATTGACGCTCGAGTGGAAAAAATGAGGTAGCTATATGTCTTGGCCACTTGATGGGCTTCGAGCTTCGAGATTGTTTCGACCAAAGGTTATTAAAATTATAAAAATTAATTACTATTGGGGGAAAGGCCGAGAAGGGCGCATGAGAGGCACGTGTCGTGCTCAATCCCACTCGCTCGCCGAACACCGCGAGAAGTCTGTACCTTCCTAACAGGATCCGCGGTAGACACGTCCGCGGATCCCACGCATCATAGACGTGCAAGAGAACCAGCGGAAGGAACGTTGGTGGGCCCGCGTATCTGTTCTAACTACCTTGCCTTGTCACCGAGATTCACCCACCAAACCAAAGTAGGCTACAAATACCACATTTACTACACTTAGAAGTGGACTTTTTCCTCTCTCTCTCTCTCTCTCTAAAAAGCTCCATGTATTCTCTCTATTTTGGAACTCTCCTTTGTTATTTACTTGGAAGAGATCAGTCTTTCAATAGTGAATAATCCATTTCCTTATCGAATCAACGTTAAGACCCTGAATGACCGTGTAAGCCTCCTACACCCAGCCTTGCACAAACAATTGGCGCCCACCGTGGGGAATGACAAAAGATTCAATGGGGAAGGCCAACCTACCACACCCGCGAACTCTTCGGCAGAGGAGACAACCCCGCTCAAAGCCATAGTCAGCCAAAGTCTCTTCAATGCACCCACAAATACGGATGCAATGAGACTCTTCCACTCGAGCGACAACCCCGACGCCGTGCTGATTGAGGAAGAAGAAGTGGAGTTGTCCTCAAAGAAAATGCGCCAACAAATAGAGAGGTAAAACAGAGCCATCGCCGACATGCAAGAAAAAATGAGCCAATTATTCACGCTCCTGAGCGCCCAACCAAACACCTCCCCTCCTGACGTAAACCCAACCGCGCTCCGAACCGCAAGTCCGACTCCAAAACTCGCACCTCAGAACGCCCTCGCAACTAGGGAAGGGCGGTAGGATCTCGAATACCAGAAACATCTGTCACCCGCCTACACGGCTCCCCACAAAAATGTTCTCCATCAACCCCTTTGCGCAACGATTATGGAGGAACAAATGGCGAGAAACCCTCCGATGCTGCCGACTTACAACGAGACAACTAACCCGGAAGACCACGTCAGCGCCTTCTGCCTGCACTTGCAGCTCCAAATGGGTTCCAACGCGGTTTTGTGCCGCACCTTTCCATCCAACTTCGCATGCATTTGCCTTGACTAGTACAACCGCCTACTGAACGGAATCATTCAGACGTTCGAAGAGTTCATCCACCTATTCACCACCAAGCTTGCTTCCGAAAAACGAAGGCCACTACATACGGTGGCGCTCATAGATGTCCGACAAAAAGAAGACGAAATCCTAAGAGCGTTCTATTCGAGGTAGTCCCACATCGCCATGGGAGTCTGTGATCTGACCCCCAAAAACACTGCACGTCACCTTATGGATTCAACAAACAACTCCGAGCTGAGGAGTTTGTTGTCCAAACACCCTGTGTTGTCGTCCTAAGAGGAGGCCAAGGTGGAAAAGGCAATCACCCTAGAAGAAACGTTGGGGGCAGGTTCGGTCCGCCGATTCGAACCAGAGAACGCAAGAGATGAGAAACCATGTCGCCAAACACCATTCCCGACCCATAACCATACCAGATTTGGGAAACCACACATGGCGCCCGCGCCTGAACCTCAGAGGAAGCTCTCTCCAGAGCGGAACAGAAACAACATAAATTTAAAACCGCTGAACGACACGGTCAGAGAAAAGGGATACCGCATAAACTGGGCAGACCCCCAATGGAAACCAGAGAACCGAAGCGACCACCGCAAGTACTGTGAGTTTCACCGCGAGATTGGTCACATCAATGAACATTGCTACAATCTAAAAGTTGAAACTAAGGCACTTATCGCGCGGGGCACTTTGCAGAATACGTGCAGACAAGTGAACATGTGACGCCATAGATATGACCACTCCCCCCACAAACGGGGTACAATGAAGAAACCATTGGCCTGGTAATACGGAAGGAAATTGGGTTAGTATCAGCCGAAGGAACCATACCGCACAAGAAACCAAAAAGAGAAAGGGCACTCGAGTGCGGGGCAACAACAACAACGCCATCGTTACCGCTTGACTGCGATGAAAAATTGATACAATCCTGGAATCGATCAAATTCCATCCAACATTGATCGTCAAAGAGGCCAAGTCGAATTGAAGAGAAGAAGCTGAAAATTGTCCAAGTATTTTTCATCTTGGTTCTCTCAATTGGCTCGTTAAAAATTCGAGTTTGATAGCTTGTTTTAAGATAAGAATTTTATCTACACGATGGTATGCTTGGTAGCCCGAGGGGAAGTCCATAAAGTCATTTTCCAGACGTCCAAAGATGCTACCTGGAAAGCTAACAATTGCCCGAAAATGCCTAATGCAGAAAACTGTTTTGTGAAGCCTACTTTGGAGCTCAATTCGAGGAGTATGGATATGATTTGAGTCAAAAGGCTTTCACAACATGAAAATATGTATGTTTTTCTACAAAGGAAAGGAATTGGATGAAGGATTGGAGTTATGGAAGGCCTCGAACGAAAGGCACGAAGTTAGTACGAAAGCTATTTTTCTTGCAGTTTGCTTGTGCTAAAAGGTAAGTTACTTGTGCTTCAAGAAAGAGAGTTTGAGTCCGTAAATTGTGACCTTTTTAGAGTTTGTTTTTACCTTATTTGTTTCCTAGTTCCATTAGGTTTGTATTAGGTTTTCTTTGCCTTTAAATACCTTTCTATTTGCGTTGTAAACAATCAAATTTTGTTGAATAAAATTACTCGGTAGAGTTTTGTGTTCTTTGACTTGTATCTCGAGAATCAAACCCTTGAGTTAACTTTGTGTGAATTCCATTGCTAATTCAAGAATCCTTGCCAAGCTTTTCTGTGAGGTTTCCATATTCGTTTAACAAGTTTCTTATCAATCAAGTAAACACCTTGATTGTGACAAAATTCTACCTTTCCATCGTTATCGTTCGATTGTTTGTGTTAGCTGCAATTTATGATCAAAAGCACCCACTGGTGCTTTATCACAAATATCTAGAGGGAGGCCCATCCGAAGATCCGCTGCTCATCATCGCCTTAGTTGGCGCATGCAAGGTGCATCGTTTGCTCATAGACGGAGGCAACGAAATGAATATCCTATTCAAACAGACCCTCGATCTGATGGATATTGACCCGATGATGATTCACCAAGCGGAAGGAAATCTAGTGGGCTTATCGAGATCTCGAGTGCCATTCATCAGCTCTATCACTCTCCCTGTGGTGATGGGCGATCAAAATCCCTAAGCAACGGTACAAATTGAATTCAACATCGTAGACTGCAAATCGCCGCACAACACGATTTTGGGCGTCCATTTTTCACGAAGTTCAGGGCGTTACCATCCAGGTGCCACCAACTCATAAAATTCCCAACTTAAAAGGGGACGGGCTTCGTGAGAGGAAAACATAGAGAGCCCACAACGCAGAGAAGGACACACGAGTTCAAGAGGAGCCGCACTCAGTCCCTACAGATTCAGACATCAAGATACCACTAGGCCCGCCCAACCTGACCGACATGTCCGCTTGTCAACCCATTTCCCTGACATGATGCAGCCGCTCATACAACTGCTGGTGGAGTACAAAGAGCTCTTTGCTTGGAGTACACAAGACATTCCCAGGGTTCAAAGGGAAATCGCGGAACATGACCTGGCAGTAGCAAGAAACGGGGAACCAATACAACAGGGTCGACGGACTTTCACGGGAGAAAAGTTGAAGTCTATAAGAGAATAGGTAGCGCGTTTGTTAGAAGCGGGCATGATCAGACCAATCCAGTTCCCTAAATGGCTCTCCAATGTGGTCTTAGTGTAGAAGGTGTCGGGGGCTTGGCGCATGTGCGTTGACTACACGACGCTCAACAAACTTTGCCCGAGTGATCTGTATCCACTCCCACGGATTAATTTGCGGGTGGATGCAACGTCCAATCACGAAATGATCTCATTCTTGGACATGTTCTCCGGGCACCACCAAATTCCCATGAGCCGCAAAAACAAGGAGAAACCCGCTTTTATGACCCAGTTTGGGAACTTCTGTTTTGTTGGGATGCCCTTTGGTCTGAAAAACGCAGGAGCCACCTATCAAAGCCTTATCAACACGGTCTTCGAAAATCATATAAGACATTAGTTCTGGGAGAATGTGATCACCATGCTGGAGACCAACCAGCTCCCTCATGACTTCCACAAACGAGTCAAGTGGGTATGTGCCTCTCAGTTCTATAAACATCTGGTCGAGCCACTAGACATAGCTAAATACTATAGGACTGGACTGCAGCGGGTCAAGGGACACTACATCACATGTGGAAGGGGGAAGAGGTACCGAATTTTGATAGGTGGTGGAAAGAAGAGATTGTTGGGCAAGAAGAGAGCAATGTAATGATGATAAGGAGGAGCAAGTTTGCAAGCTTGACGTAGGATACATTGTTCTGGGCGAGGGTGGAGGAAGTCAGAGAATGGCTGGAGAGTGTTAGGACAGAAAGGGATCATTGGAAAGAAGCCGAGCTGTGGGAGAGACTTCTTGGGTTTGAGAGGTATGCAAGAGGATTGGTTGAGATCAGGGATGGCAATTTTGCTTATACCCATGGGTTTTTTACTATCCAACCCAATTGGGTTGGGTATGAAATGCAAATAGATGGATATGGGTAGACTTTGATGGGTTTGTACCCATACCCATTTACTTGGGTTGGGTTTATAACAAATGGATTTGGGTTTGTACCCATGCCCAAATGCAAATTACAGTTTGGTACCTAAACTTAATAGATATGCATATTTAGTACCTAAATTTAATTTTTTTGCATACATTGTTGTTGTTGATTTTCTGGTTTTGACTTGTAAACCTGTTTTGGGTTGCTCCGAAGTAACCGGTTTGTGGTTTGAGTTATGATTTGGTTTTCAAAAAGGATCGATTCGTTTCACTTGTTACAAACCTTCCTTAGCTAGGAGATGAGAAAACACACTCTATCTTTGATTGAAATAAAAATGAGCAAGTTAACCAAAATTACATAGAAATCACACTAGAACATTACCATTTATCTACACATAGCACAATCTCAACCTTAAATAAAAAAGACAAAGTATGATGATACATTCAAACATCTAAATATATGGTTATAAATTTGTGATTTTTCCCGAAATACTAGTGTGAAATTTTTTTTTATGAAAATACCACCTAACAAAGAAAAATTACACAAATACCACTATTTCTTCAAAACCGCCACATGGGTAGGTGGTTTGTGAGAGAACCGCATGTTGAGGACGCGGTTTATATTTTTGTTAGAAATCGCCCCTCCCTAAAGCGGTTCTGCGGCTGACCTAGAACGGACCGCTTGTTGATGGGGAATGTCATCTTCATCAGGGTTGTGCTTCCTCTTTATCTCCGCTGTCAATCAAGTGATGGATACTTGGCGGCTCCTCAATGGTGCATTATCATCGTCCTCAAATTATCCTTGTTCCTTTTCTGGCACCATCAACCCCAATGTGGTCCATAGCAAATACTGCCAACCGCTCATCTCGTCAACATCTAAAGGTGGTGAATGATTGTCCACACACACAACATCGCCATCGATGGACAAATCGGTTAGGATGGCCATGTCCTTCAGTGTGATGGTGCACTCGCCTTCACGAAAGTTGAAGCAATGTGTCTCCTTTCGCCATCTCTCCACCAATGTTCCGATGAGTTGGCGGTCGATCTTTATCCCTTCAAAGTGCCTAATCAAATCCAACCTTGCCCTTCTTAGAAAGGACAAGATGGCGTCATTCCATGGGAGCACATTGCTCGTACCCCCAGAGCGGACTTATTGCATCTTAGCAAAAAATTTAACTTTTATCATAAGTTTATGATTTATAAATATATAAATCTATTATAACAAACAATATAAATTAACAAAATCAAGGTTATTTCCAAGATATATACATAATTTCATAAAAAAAACATACTTAGTTAACTAAAATAATTAACTAAAATGAATTGTATTGTCAAATTAAATAAAATTATTTTCGTAGACATACACATAAATCCATTATATTATTTTGTAAATCGTATTGGTTGTTTTCAATAATTTAAAACAATACAAGTACACTCGTGAGACTGTTATAAGAGATGTACATCTCTTTAGAAACACAATCTTTTAGATAGAAAAAGGGGGATCCGAGAATCGCTTAAAACCCGATTTTTCCAAGAAATGGGAGGATCATGATGATCGCTTAAGTCCCTATTTCCTTAGGCATGCATCTCTTTATAAAGATTCTAAGTAAGTGGCACATTGTATTATCCTAAATAATTGAAAATAATCAATACGATTGACAAGTAATAAATTTATTTTGCAAACCACTAACTTACATTAACCCCTTTAGATAGAAAAAGGGGGATCCGAGAATCGCTTAAAACCCGATTTTTCCAAGAAATGGGAGGATCATGATGATCGCTTAAGTCCCTATTTCCTTAGGCATGCATCTCTTTATAAAGATTCTAAGTAAGTGGCACATTGTATTATCCTAAATAATTGAAAATAATCAATACGATTGACAAGTAATAAATTTATTTTGCAAACCACTAACTTACATTAACAAAATATAAAATGACAAATAATGATAAATTATATGTACCTTTTGATCGTTCCAAACATCTCTTGAACGATGGTTAGGTTGGCCATATAGCACAGATGAATCAGTCGATACTTGATTAACATAATATCTTTGATTGTTTATCTCCACGTCCTTCCCAACCTACGATATCATAACAACAACATAAATTAAATAGTATATAGATAAAATATAAAAATTATAACAACTACAAAAATTTGATAAAATGAGTATGTATTGCTTGATAGTCATCATAATAAATACCCTCTTCTTCGAAAATCAACCATTTTTTCAGGAAGCCGGACAGAGATTCGACGAGATTCAACGGGTTTTGAAAGAAAAACCAAAGAAATGTTTTTAAAAGCAGTTTGGACTTAGCCGCAACCAACAGACCACTATTTTCTAGGTTTTTTGCTGGAGAGGGGGATGGATAGAGAGATAATCTTAGAGAGATACAATAGTGGGTTTTGGTGTGAAAAATGAAGGAGAGGGGGGTTAGATAGCACACAGGCCACATGCTGGGGGATGGGGGTTGGCCATTTTACACCAAACGAAAACCGCTACGTTTTTTCAAATGCAAAACGCGCTTCGGAGGAGCAGTTTTCACTCCCAGACGCAGATTAGTGAGCTGGCAAGCGGTTTTCTGTCGGATCGCGTCTTCATCTGATGGTTCCACGAACCGCCTCGTTGCCACACGTTTTGTCGGTCGCCCTAATGGAAACCGCCTCCCCACTAAGCGGTTCTCATGTAAAGGTTTTCAAGAAATGGTGATATTTGTGAAATTTTAGCGGGTTGGGTGGTATTTCTGTAATATGTTTTAACAGTGATATTTCTGCAATATTTTTTAATAGTGTTATTTCTGTTGAACGGACTCGTGCAAGGTTGTTAAATTCCTATCGACCCCCGGTTGGACCAGGTCCAACCTAAGTCGAGCTTCAAATTGGCCTGCAGAAAGCCCCCCGGTCTGACTCCTAATAAAAGAGAAGAAGAGAGGGGGAGGAGAGGAAGAGGGATGAAGGATGGGAGATGGTGGGTGGATCATGGAGGTTAGATAGATTTACTTTGCGGAAAATAAGTTTTCAATAGATACATGTAAGATAAATTTCATTTCAGTTATTAAATCTTTGATACTACCTTACTTATTTATATACATATTAAAAAAAAAACATCTAAAACATCTAAAACTGCTCAAACCAGCTGGACCATGATCAGACCATTAAACCTCAAATTCCTTGCTTGACCAGCTCAATAACTTAAACCGGTTTGACAAAACTCGTGACAAGATCCTATGTGCCTAAACACTCTCGTAGCATCAGAGAGAATATATTAAATCACGGCCTTTGGATCAATTGTATAATATACACAATACAGAGAACATTATTATGTTTGAGGTTGACAATAAAAATTCAAACCTTACCAATTGGGGACATCAATCTATAAAATATATAAAGGCTTTTCCAAAAACTACCTTCACCATTTCAAAATTCCAGCCCTCCTACGCATCCACGTCAGCACCCTTCCGACCAATCAGATTTTTTCTTAACTCCTTTTTTTTTCCTTTTTAAGTTTTTCTATATCGCAATTAGAATGTGCCACTTAACTCTCTCTCTCTCTCTCTCTCTCTCTCTCTCTCTCTTCATTTTCAATCTCCCCTACTATTCTTAATTGATCCATATTTATTTCGCGTCAACTCCGAATTTAAATATTATTGCGCGAAAAAATAAGATTATATGTGATCTACACCAGGATACCCATTTTGATATATGTTTTTTTTAAACATAGCCACAATCATATATTTACAAGGCATGTTCCTATTCGATAGTTGCGAAACCATATCAATATCATTCAATTGTACCACCATAAAGTATATACTAACATAGATCGCAGAACAAATTTCTTATTCTACTGAGTTACTAAATCATATCAATGTTTAATTTTGTAATATCATAATAATAATGCAGAACAATTTCATGAGTGCTAAAATATTGTCGTGCGGTACAAACTAATTTACCTTAAAAAAATCAATTAGCGGCTAACTGGTTGGATTCAAAGGTATACACGATTCGGAATGAGAGAGGACAATGACTGACTGAACAAAATAGACACCTTAGGAGGAAAAAAATACCAAAGTACATATTTCAAACAAAATTTATCCGGCCAACGGACCGGTTACCAAACTAGTATTCTTAACAGGCCTTTCAACACCATTTCCTAGCATCCAACGCCCACCACAGCATTATTAAAACTATACCAAATCCTAATGCCACTGGAATATAGTTGAAACTGTCCCAACAGGAACAACCAGCAAGTATAGCAAATCCAGGTGAAGGCCATGAAGCAACTGGGTCTTCTGGATTTCCCCAAGTAGAATGGCCCTTCTTTGAAGTTCTTCTCATCCATCACCATTCTTGCAAATATTGGGACTGCATATCTACCAACCCACCCGATCGTGCACTTGAAGTTATGGCCGTGAAGACAGCGTTCGCTTTCAGTATCAGGAGCCCCGGAAGAATGCAGATCCCTGCGCAGAGCCACACCGTTTTTTAGGGAACTTTGTGCTTTGGATGGATTTGACGGGAAAATTTCCAAAATACACATGTTTTTAAAAAAAATTCTCAAAATACACATGTTTTATGAAATATTCCCAATCTACACATGTTTTGACAAAACCGGGTTCGTTAAACGCGGTGAACAGTATCACCGCGGTCGTCGGAAGCGATGAACGCTTCACTGCAGCCTTTAAAAGCGATGAACGCTTGTTGGCCATTACGCTTCTGTCCAATGCAGTGATGGTCTGATTATTATTATTATTATTATTTTTATGAAGGGATGGCCTGATTACTTAATTAGGGTCTGTCCGAGGAAGACGGAGAGGCCCCGGACGTGGCCGTGGCGACCGCTTGAGAAAAGCAGGTCGAGAATCAATCACCGGAATCATTCAAGCTCGACTTGGATGGTGTCAGATCTCCGTGACCGATTTTGGGTTGTCGCCGGAAGATATGGTCGCCGGGCAGGGGGTTTTGAACATTGTTGTTAGGTTTACGGGAGGAGGATTAATGGCACAGCAGCGGCAGCCGCCGCCTGGGGAATCGGTGGAATCCACTGAGAAAGATGCGATGAGTTGTAGAAGGAAAATAGATCAAAGGGGGCAGAAGAAGAATTAGAAGAGAACTGGTGGCCGACGACCACTTTTTTGCGATAGAGAAGCACTGATAATTACTTTGGGCATATAATTACTTTTATGGGCCTTTAGTTAGAATTACCAAATCTTCTGCCTACAAAAAGTAAGCCGTGATAATAATCAGGCCATCACCGCGTTGGACACAAGCGGTGATTGGCCAACAAGCGTTCACCGCGTTTATAGGATGCAGTGAAGCGTTCATCGGTACAGACGACCGCGGTGATACTGTTCACCGCGTTTAACGATCACAGTTTTGTCCAAACATGCGTAGATTGGGAATATTTCATAAAACGTGTGTATTTTGAGAATTTTTTTTAAAAACATGTGTATTTTGGGATTTTTTCCTGGATTTGACGACATATGGACGAGAATGGGATACCTCAGTCTCTTGATAAAGCAAACACCTGAGGTGGTCAAGATAAGGATGCAATAAATAGACACCCAAGAGGTTAAAAAACCCAATCATGACTCAAACGCTTCCTCCCAAGCAGATATGGTATGAAGATGAAAGGCTACTATCACTCTAGCTAGCTGCACTACCAGTTATTGAGAGGCCACCGAAGAAGAATGGACCCCAAATCAAGAACAGCTTCTAGCGATGATATACTACACGGAATTACACCTGTATTTTTGAGCTGGTACAAATGCTCCCGCGGTCTCATTACTCGTATCATACAAGTAGCTGAATTCCTAATGAGCAGTAAGGGGCATTATTAGTGCTTACATGGTTAATATTTACACAACAATATCCAGAGAAGAAAAGCCGATCCTTCGAAAACCATGTACCTGGATGCTGAACGTGTCAGCCAAATATACTTCCATACAATGCTGGATAGAATTGCTGATTCCACTTCTAAATGCGTAAACACATAGGAAGCAGATCGTGTGGTTGTTTCCACCAAACGGAAGTAGTATAACAATTACAAATCCTCCAATTACCTGTCATTAATAGCACAAAGGCACAATTAACTGCTTCTAGCAACATAAATCGAATCAAACAGAACTGAACCGGCTGTTTTTTCACATCCGATTATAGATTCAAATGAATTAGTACTTACCTGCCACCATATGGAAATGATGTCAATAAAAGCAATGACTTCCAAGGCAAAAGTGTTGGGGAAAGCCCATGTAAGAGTAACACCTACTTATATGCCCAGAAACAGCCATTTAGGAGAGAAGTATCCTCCAACTTTGTTTGTTCCTGTCCGTAATAACATGATACTCTGCAGCGTTCCTAACCCTGAGCATGCCTGTCAAAAACAGTCCCCAAAACTCAACACTCTGTCCGGGATAATCTCCTAGCATTCTTCTCACAACAAGAACCACAGCCCTTACAGAAATCAGGTTTACTTTACCTGAGTACCTGTGCCTGCAACAAGTCCTACGGGTGTCGAGCAAAGCACAACACTAGGATGGAAAAGATCCCTATCTAGGGCCAGCCAAATGAGAAGCCCAGAAATAACGAGAACCAGTAGTCTGTTCCATACATTTCACCAGGTCATGCAATCAAATGAGGAAAATGTCCATTCACTAACTTAGGAAGTAAGGAGAACGAATCTGAGGGATAGTTTAAATTTATACGTACAAGAATGAATCTGAGGGATAGTTTCCACGCGAACCAGTAAACATGGTGTTTTGAGACTCAGTTCGGTGTGGGGAACTCTTATTATGTTTTAGGTGAACATACGTGTCTGTCTCCAGCTGCGCACCCACCATTTTCATGAACAGATCGACATCCAATTGAAGTCGAAGTTAGGAAGATAAAATAGAAGGCAAAATGTTTTGATGTGCAAAGAAGTGCAGTGTTCAATTATTGTAGGAAAAAGGGATATACTGCAAAACCAGGATTAGCGCTTCAGATCCTTTATCCTATTCCCGCATTCGATTAATGGAACTAACGACACAGACAAATGTTTCCTCTTATTCTTTCAACAGTGACTCAGAAACTCAATTAAGAAAAACAAGCACGGAATATGGATCAAAATCAAGCATTTATAGAAATATGATGACCAGTACAATGAAAGGAATCCATTAACTACAATGAAGGAATAGTTTCAAATTTGGAAACAAATAAGTAGCCCAAAAACTGCCGAAGAAACTGGCATATACTGGATAAGTTGTTTGATTTTGTTGAACTTTTACTTGTGGTGGATACGTTCCATGCACATTTTGGTATATCAAATGATTAGGGGATGACCAGAGTGCCCTGTAAAGCTTACCTTGGAAAGAATAAAAAGAGATGAACAGTCCTGTGCCATCCTCTCCTTGACCCATCATGGAAATCCCCTGCCGCTTCCTTGCGCATACAGCCATGTAACTGCAAACCTTGGTCTAGCAAAAGGAGGTTTCGAGGATTAAACAAATCGTAACAGGGAGCTGTCTGGTTATTCCTACCTTCCCGTGTTCGCAAAGTCGTATTTTGAAGGTAAAAATGTACTTCGGAGCAACAGGAAAAAAAAAATCACTTGAATTCCTTTCCGTAAGTTGAATTCACAAAATTCATTAGTAAAAGGAACATATTATTCCTTAATAATATATGTTAGGAACCAATCTCACTGTGAATACAAAGAACGAATCCAAAGAATGCATTGCCAAGACATTATGGTTCAATGATGGAAAATACAAAGTCATGTAACAGGTGCAATGTCAAATGAATGAAGAACTTCTTCCAACATCACCCTAGTACCACCATCAAGTGGATTCTCCGGGTTGTCGGAATGGACAATATTTAAGAGGTAAAGCTTCTTAGAGGAAACAAATGCAGCCGTGAAGATCCTCTTAATCCCTCCTCTCGTACTGTCAACTCTATACTCAAATTCATACACTGGTAGGCCTCCACGTCCAGATCGTTCCTTCGCCCAAATTACCTCTGCCTCCTTTGTACTCTCCTGTAGAGCCATATTAGATTGGTTTAACTACACAAACTTGACAATGCAAACAGATACCAAACTACAACATTTCCGGTTTCTATGCCCAAAATTTAAGAACAACTGCACTACATTAAGCTACCAATAATGGCACCCATGAGATATGGAAAGCTAAATCTGCACTCGAGCAGCATTACACAAACGCCACCATGTGAACAAACACAATCCCAGATTCCACATGTACCTTGCGCTTTTCCGCTTGGATAAGCTTGTCAGCAACAAATTCAGGAGTCCCGAACTCAGTAAGGGTACTAAGACGAACTGGGTTCACCACAACCCCAACATTGTTGCTTGTTTTCTTCATCTCCTCAAACAGAACAGTTGCTCCTGCTTTTTCCACCTAATTTAATCACCCAAAATATTTACAAGGAGTCAAAGTCTCAACACATGAAGATGAATGCATTATCGTTTTGGCAAAATGGCAACGCCCTAATTCCCTTCACCTTGGTGTAAGAAGGCGGCTTGAGCAGAGTAAACCCTTGTTCGGGATCGGTATATCTTTCAAGCTTTAACTCCTCTTCGGCCAAAATGGCGGTTCTGGACCAGACTGGCCATGACCCATTAAGAACCAGGGTCACTCCAATAAGTGAGAGATTTAGTTTTCTCCTTGTCGCTCTCAATGTAAGAACGTCGGCGCCATTGCTGCTTCCAGGTTGATTAGAGCTTTCAGTGGAGAAAGTAGCTGAAGCCCACAGTGAAAGCGAAGATAAAGGTTTTTGCCTGGGTGAAGAGGGGAAGCTACAATTATGCTTTAGCAGGTAAAAATGATGGCAGTTCGAGGTAGAGAAGCCAATCTCCATGCCCACGAGCTGCTCAATTTAGCCAGTAAGCCCGAAGGAACTTACCGGCGCGATGCAGAATTACTCCAGAAATCGCCATATCCAGTTATCCACAGGTTTCTAACATGCTGGGTGGAGCCCAAGTCCGAGAGCATGGGTGACGTGGCTGAAATTATAAACTGCGGGATTGGATATGGTGACAATACCATATTTGTTGTTATTGTAACAACGACATAGGTGGACTAATAGGAACCCACCATTCTGCAAACTTTTGAAATTCATGCGTTGACTAGGGTAAAAAACAAAGGAAGGGTATGTTTGTCCTACTGAAACATTGTAGCTCCTTTTGTCCGAAAAATTGCAGCTCGTTTCTCTCTCCCTACTTTATTCTCTCTCCAATCGCGCGGCGCCGAGGATGAACGACGGCGACGAAATCCTGATTGCAGCAGCTACCGCAACGGCGACGAGATCGTGATCGCAACAGCTACTGCAACGGCGGCGACGAGATCCTGATCGCAGCAGCTACCGCAACGGCGACAAGATCGTGATCGCAGCTACTGCAACGGCGGCGACGAGATCGTGATCGCAGCAACTACCGCAACGGCGGCGACGAGATCCTGATCGCAGCAGCTATCGCAACGGCGGCGACGGCGGAGCAAGCTCCTGATCGCAGCTAAGACATTGACGATGGACGAGAATCGTTTAGTTGAAGTTTCTGTTGGTTCTGTAGATGCTCAACAACTCCTGCAAATTGCAACATCTTCTGACAATGCAACAGAAGGCGGATATCAGCTGGAAACCTCTATTTCCACCAACAGTGGCAACAATGAACAAGAAGAAGGTACGCTCAACTCAATCCTTCCTGTTTTCTTACAATGAGCACCACAATCATGCTTATACAAGCCATTTACCATATCATAAGCACTACCAATCAAACCGCCCACAAAAATCCCACAAACGATACCAAAAGCATCGCCAAACACACCACATTCTTCCCAAAACAAACCACATGAAAAAAGAGACAATCAACCAAAACACTTAAAAACCAAACCACAAAACTTCTTAAACGCACCAAAACACCTCCAATGCACACCATTAAAACCTAAATCGTTACATTCCGCAATCTGTTTGTAAAAAAAATCACACTGTAATGCAAACCATAAATGTCATAAAGCATCATGAATAACTACAATGCAAACCACTTTTCACTTTTCTAGCAAATATCATCGCAAGATGAAATGATCAAACCGCCCACAAAAATCCCACAAATGATACCAAAAGCATCGCCAAACACACCACATTCTTCCCAAAACAAACCACAGGAAAAAAGAGACAATCGACCAAAACACTTAAAAACCAAACCACAAAACTTCTTAAACGCACCAAAACACCTTCAATACACACCATTAAAACCTAAATCGTTACATTCCGCAATCTGTTTGTAAAAAAAAATCATACACTGTAATGCAAACCATAAATGTCATAAAAGCATTATGAATAACTACAATGCAAACCACTTTTCAATTTTCTAGTAAATATTATCGCAAGATGAAATGATCAAGTGCTCATTTCTTTCATCATTGCTTACAGGTGTGACATCAAACAGGTCCGAGTCAGACTACACTAGTTTGGGGTTGGCATTCAAAACCATTGAGGAAACAAAACAATTCTACAAGAACTATGCTCACGATCTTGGCTTAAGCGTGAGGGACATGGGAGCTGTCAAACGTTCTACAAAAAGACAGCCAACCAAAACAGCACGATATGCTAGGTATTGTTGCAACAAAGAAGGATACAAGACCACAAGCAAGTCAAATCCCAAGAATAAAGGATCAATCGATGTCAAGGCTTATCAACGTGCTGTACCAGAAACTAGAGTTGGCTGCCCAGCTATAATCAAATTTAGATATGATATCAAGAAGGATGAATGGCTGCTGGACAAGTGGATAACAGAACACAACCATGATCTCCTCCCTCCAAAATTCAAACATCTGTTGAGGTCAAACAAGGGGATCTCAGAAATGCATGCAATGGTCGCACAAGTGCATGCAGATTGTGGAGTTTCACTATGGAAATCATATGAGTTGTTCACCACAACTTCAGGGGGAGGGTGAATGTACCTTTTACCCCTCATGATCTGAAGAACTATATCACAGGGACAAGGCAGAAATCAATGAAACCAAGCGAAGCAACTATACTTCTTGAACATTTTCGCCAGGAAGCTTACAAGAATCCATCATTCTTCTATGAAATTGAGGTAGATAGTAAGGAAGATATTGCAAGTATATTCTGGGCTGATGCAAGAATGCGGTTTGACTACAGTTGCTTTGGAGATACGATCAGCTTCGACACCACATACAGGACAAACCAGAATTTTCGTCCACTAGGTCAGTATTCCTTGCACTAGTTAATTTTCTTCATATTTCGAAGTTGAATGCATACCAAACATTACACAATGTATTTGGAGGTTTCTGGTGTGCTTTCGCAAATGTTGTGGTTTGCTTTGTGAGGTTTGTGGTTTGCATTAAGAGGTTCCTGGTCTGCTTCCGCAAATGTTGTGGTTTGCTTTGTGGGGTTTGTGGTTTGTTTTATAAGATTTGTGGTATGCATTAGAAGGTTTGTGGTTTGCATTAAGAAGTATTCCTTACACTAGTTAATTTTCTTGATATTTCGAAGTTGAATGCATACCAAACATTACGCAATGCATACCATAAGTAACATAAAACCACCCAAAAGACTCTTTAAACAAACGACAAAAAAAAAAAAAACATGAAACATTCATTTTGAGAATCCTAACCAGAAACCTCCTAAACCACACTAAACTCGTCCTGAAACACACCATATATATATATCATAAAAGATAGTCTTTGTTTGTTTTAATGTTTAATTCTATGTTGTTCTTTTTCTATTTTTAAATTACAGCTTTGTTTGTTGGCTTCAACCACCATCACGCACTCTGCATTTTCGGGGCTGCTCTCCTATATGATGAAACAAACGCTACATTCAAGTGGTTGTTCGATGCATTCTTGAAATGTATGTCAGACACCCGACCAACATCAATATTCACCGACCAAGCTGCTGCAATCGCCGCTGGGATTAGATCCGTCATTCCTGAAGCATTCCATGGCTTGTGTACTTTTCATATCAAGCATAATGCAATGAAGCATCTCGACACCACAAACACAAACATTCTAGAAGATCTGAAATATGTCACTTTTGGAGTAGAAAATGAGGATTATTCGAGTACAATTGGTCAAGGCTGCTAGACACATATTATCCAGAAGAAGGCACCAATCCAAGGAACTGGTTGGATTCAATTTACAAAGTAAGGAAACAGTGGTCTTCAGCATGGATTAAGGACCACCTCACAGCTGGTATGCGAAGCTCACAGCTAAGTGAGTCTTGTAACAGCAACCTCCGAAACTACCTTCAACTAGATGACAACATAGTTGAGTTCTTCACATACTTCAACAAGTTGGTCGAACGGAAAAGATCAGACGAAATGGACATGGATTATCAAATAGCAAACACAGTCCCAAACAACATGTACGTATTACTTCCTTTATTTGAACTTTTTTATACTGTAGAATGCATCCACAAGTCTCCTTGTCCAAACAAAAAACAGCAGCAAACACCCCACAATTGATATAAAACCCTACCAGAAATGTTGAATACAAACCAGATACCACCTAAACCAACCCAAAAACCCTACAATCCACACCACATACCACATAATACAACCCATAAACACCACAATGCACACCGCACGAGCAACAACCCATGAACTCTACAATCCACACCACACACGACTTAAAATAACCCATAAATCCCACAATCCGCACCACAAATAGTACAATACATACCATAAAATCATTAATGTAGAAAAGATGCTTATGAATGATTTTATGTTGTATGTCATCTTCCAACAGGTATGATGGAAGCCCACTTGTTCAGCAAGTCGCAAAATTATACACAACTAAGATCTACAGTTCTTTCCTTGAGGAGTATTCAGAAAGCCTTGCTTTTTTTGTGTTCCGGAATGAATCTAAGGATAGAGATGGAATGACAGCTTATGAAGTGAAGAAACTGGGAGGATTCGATAAAAGAGTCGTGTTAGTGAACAAAGAGGAGAAGAAATACAAGTGCTCATGTCATTTGTTTGAAAGTTCAGGCTGGTTGTGCAGACATGTAATCAGGCAGATAGAGATGGTTGGATTCAATGGTGATGATATTGAGCAATTGACTATCCCTAAGGAATACATTCTGCCACGATGGACGAGAGATGCCAAATCTGGAGAGAAGTTCACAATAAACACAACAGAATGTGCTGCAACAGATACTTATGCAGGGAGGTATCAAGAACTGCATGCTAGCATGGTTATCCTAGCAACAAAAGTCTCAATTAATGACAAGGTCTTCTCAATGGTTAAAGAAAAGATTGCAGAGCTCACTAAACTAGCTTTCCAAAGCCTTCAGACTCAAGAAACTCAGCAAACAGTACCTGGTAATTTCACACATCTTGTTAGCATCCCTACTTATATTCACCAGTAATTACTTAATCCAAGACACTAATGATCTAATGCAAACCATAAACATCTTAATCCAATCGACTAATTGCTTAATCCCTACTTATGTTCACTAGTATCTTGTATATTGCTTTTTCAACAGTTGGAACCACCAGTACATCACCCTCACAAAGCGCTGCTGCTTCAGCTACAAATGACAAGTATGCCAATGTGAAGGAATTCAAGGCTCCACAAGACCCATGGAAATCAAAGAAGAGGCCAAGAGGTGGACTTGAGGTAGCGCTGGAGAGGGCTACCGTGCAAAGAATTGATGAACAGGCTGCCAACAAGCATTACAAAAGCAACAATGAGTGATTAGTCTCCTTGTTGTTATCCGTGTTTTTTTTATCTGTCATAAACTTTTAGATTTCAATGACAACTATGAGACAAATATGAACAGTTCCAGGTTTTGATAATATTTGATCAAACAATAACACAGATGCAGCAAAACAAACTACATATGTACTAACACACATCATACATTGTATAACCCTGGGGAAAAGAAACAAACTATAAACCTTATGAACCACACTACAATACCCGTTAAACAATCCACTTGTCTTATAATACACACCATAAGGAAGAAAACAAACTACGAAACCTCTTA